AACCTATAATAGGAACCAGCTGGAAGGCGACTAATTTTAATAATGAAAAAAAAAAAGGATTTTTCATGTATAAAATTCGTGTTCCTATATTTGAGACCAGTCACGAAAGAGTTCTGCTTGCCACGTTACGTAGAGGACGGCATCCTTGTAAATCCGTCTTGCATTGAACAGGTTGAAAATTACTTTTTATTCAAGAAAAAGATTTCACAAGCAATTAGTATATAACTTACTTTATATTTTGCAGAACCTGTTGTCATTAACTCACTAGACTTTTGCAAATTTAAACGGCCGAAGCGAGGCAAGACGAATACTCAAAGGTAAGACTGAAACTTCCTTGTTCTACTTCATGGTTTTCATTGCCATTTTTYTTTCCTTTCAAGAATTTTTAATTTGCGTTTTTCTACTTTTTTTGTACAAATGAATAGACGAATGAGCATATTTCAATTATAATAATCGTAAATATCGGTATTATTATTATCATTATTACTATTTTTTACTCTAACTATATTATATTAATCTCGTGTTATTGAATTTTTAACTTTATAAGCCGACAAATTTTGCAATATAATTTTAGATATCAATTTTAGTTATTATCAATTTCTGGWTAGCTCGATTGAAAAATACAACGAAACTCATCCGCACATTCTCTAGCTCTTTTTGAGAATTGAATGAACAATTAAACGGTTAACGATCTAATTTCAGTAAATATCATATTTTAATTAAAATCTTCAGTCTCCTAAAACTCCTTTTACCCCTCCCTTGAGTCCGCCCCTGTAATCTAATACCTATTATGCTCGATTTTGGCATGTATATCATGACCACAGTAAGGGAGTGTGATATACTCACCCTTACTTACATAAGTCATTAGTTTGGTAAGCGACACTGCTCAAATTTAGTTTTTGGCGGAGGACGAAGAAACAGCCTTGGAGAAAACCCTTGGCGCRCTTAAACTAACAATTCGCGATTTAACAGAAAAGCAGGCTATTCATTAGTCRCGTTTTCAGACAATAACTAAAAGAAGCAGAACCGGAAAATTAAAAGCAGGAGGCGAATACATCAAGAGTGTTTGTTTATTTTTGGTTTTTTGAATAACCAGAAAGACCMATCTTTTACCAGACGAATTTCTAGGTTTCTAGACATAGTTTATACAGGAAACGATGCACTTAGCTAGATTTCACATCAACAAGTCAAACRAGTAGCCAAACGTTTCCGTTAATGAGCAAAGTATATTTTGACTGACTATTAAAATAAGTTTTTTTTTATGACTCCCGCATTTTGTGCCAATGAATATTATCAAGTCATAATAACAATAAATATAAACACCCTTCTTATCTTGTAAAATTGAACCTTCAAGACCAAACTTTTTAATCTTTTTACGGCTTTCGAAATCAATTGTTGATACGGTTACGAAAATGGAAGCACTTGGAGTAATGAAAATCGTTTTGTTTGAATTTGATCAGCTCCATAGGGGTTACAGTTTTTCTTTTGAAGGCCTACTTGTGATCTTCCGATCAGTTAATGACCAATTTAATATACTTAAACTGTTTTTAACACTGGAAAAATCGCGCTTTAAAAAGAAGGTTGTAAATCTGATGTAAATATGATTTAAGTGTCCAAAATTCTGTAAGTTTAATGGAAATCATTTACATCAAATTTACAACCTTTAATAAAGCGCGCGATTTTTTCCAGTGTAAACCAAAAAGAAAAAGYGAATTCACCAAAACAAAATGAGGCAAAAGCTCACTTGTAATAAGCCACAGCAGTGGACTGAGATTTAGTCTTAAATTTTCCTAATACATTGTATGAGTTTGCAGATAAAAAAATATTAGATCATTGATCTCATTGCTATAAAAGTATAATAATCATGTTGAAAATATCATTTTCAACTTCGAGACACGATATGTTTCCCTATGGCGTAAGTGCAATTCGCTGTTCATTTAACCACGAAGGAATATTGACTTTTGCTGTGAAAAAGCATTGTGATTAGAATGGACAAGCATCATAACAACAAATAATATTATCAGCAATCCGATGGAAATTCACCAAGAGTAGCTTATAATTTGACAACCATGAAGATTTGCGTGAGTCAATTAACGTTCTCTGTCTCATTGATGTTTTGCAGTGAAGTTGGCAGCCTGTTCAGCAGCCAGTTCAAAAATGTTAATAATGTGCATTTATCAGTCGTAAACGACTTATTATAGGATATGGAATGTTAATCAAGTGACAAAAACGTTTTCAGTGGCAGGGTATTCTAAAGTTGAAACGCTTCTCGGTTCCAGTTACCCGACTGTTACTTATCAGTGAAGAAGCCTTAGAAAAATTTGTATTTATTATGAGTACTTCTTAACGTCCCATCAATATACGAAGTCGACTTTCCCTATAATACAGTGTTGATCAAACAATCATTAAATCAATTGAAATTGAGTAATTTGTAACGCGCTTCTTCAAGTGTAATCCTTTTATCTCAATACGTCAGTTTTTCGTCTCGAATGTCAGATAATTTCCCCTTGCACAATCGTTGTTCAGTCGCTATCATATCGAGACGAGTTAACCCACGTGCACGTCTTCTACATTTTGTATTTGCTTGTTCTCGTTTTGAGAATGCAGAAATTTGTCAACAAAAGATATTATAAGGTAATTATATTGAGATCAAATCTTTTGT